ATAGTAGCTTCTGGCCGGTGTTCCACGCCCACATTAAGCGGTCTGAGCACGCACTCAACGACCTCGGAGACGTTCTTCACGTTGGGTAAACCACTAAAAATTGCAGGTCTTCGTTTTCGCTCCTCCGCGTTCTTCGTGTGTCTTTGGTACAGACATTCGTTTACGAAGCTACGCGGGTATCCGTTAGTGAGAAACAGGCGCCAAAGGGTTTTTTGCTCTTGTAGCTTCTTGTTCTCCGTGCTGCAGTGTGTTTGGATGCGGCGAAAAAGCGTCCGGACGCAACTGCGCTTATGCGAAATGGGATGATTGCTGTTTTAGTGCAGAATCTTTTCCGCGTCTGTCACTTTACGAAACACGTCAGTCTGGAGAGTTCAGTTGCCTGTCTTGATACCTGGACATCGAGAAATGGGAGCGTTGCGTCCTCTTCTTCTTCTTCTATCCTGAACTGAATCTATGGAAAAGTCCAGTTCAGTTCTCTTTTTCAGTTATCTTCAGCGTCTCGGTGTAGGATGACAAAGGTATCGTCTACGTAGCGCATCCAACATTTTAGTTTGTAGGACTGAAATACCCGAGTTTCCAGTTCTTGCAAGACCGCCTCCGCTAGGTGGCCAGAGATCGGTGATCCCATCGGTGCTCCCTGGATTTGCTCGACTTTGATGGTGCCCAAGTGATAGGCCGAGCCGACAGCAAACGGGCGAGAGAAGCTATTGAGGCCTGGAAAATGGACAACAACTCAATCAACAGAAGCATAGATCTCCCCGGGCCATATGATGCCGCACGGTTGCACATGTGCACGAGAGGGGGCCCAATAAGACGAGAGGACGGCGGACCAACCAGTAGCTAGCAGTAAGCCCATATTTTAACTCATGTTCTTGACCCAAATGTCTATCTCCGATGATGTGCTCGAGCATGAGTGCGGAAGCTCAGACCAATAAACTTTCTCCCCCAGAGATCGCCTTACTTTCTCCCTCCATTCCAATACCTGGGGTCATCATCTTCGCCTTTATCCATGATAAATTTGGGCGCGAAGCGCTTTGCCACTCACGGCAGAAGTCTAGCCTTCTTACTGTTGGGCCACGGGTTTGTTTTTTGCCAGTTTAGATGGAGAGATATTGACGGTCTTTGATGAGCGTTCACAGATTGCTAACGTAACTCTCTCGTCCCGCTCTGCATAAGGATTCATTCTCAAGTGAGTTACGCATGTTTGACATTTGCTATGGAAGTGCAACCAGAATAAAATCAGTCATGCTCTAATGTGGCCCCCATTTTAGTCCAGCGCGCACACACGCACACATCATACTGGATTTCAAATCAGTAACTTTACACTCTAACGTGGAGGACACACTCAGGAGTAAATACTCCTTAAGTAGTGTGAATGTGGTCCATTAGTTTCGTTCGCCAATGTCAGGTGGTGATCGCCCTGCCAGCACTAGCCCTGGCTTGCCCCGTGGGGCAATCCGGGGAATCCGGGGCTGAGGACCTTTATGGACGAACTATAATTACTGTACACATTTATCGAAATCTATTTTTCTTTGTCAAAAAAGTTCCAATAACCCTTATTTTGCGCCTTGCTCTTTGGCGAAACAATCAAATCGGGGGTGAGAATGAGAAAAAAGGGTCATCCCGCTGCAGCAATATTTTACGGAGCCCCGTTCACGTGTCCCTGGATTGGACGGGGCTCGAAGAGGGAGATTTCAACCCTTATTGTCCCGCCTGCGGAAAATAGTTCCGCAGCGGGACACCCCTTTTTTTCTCATTTTAACCCCTGATTTGACTTTTTTTCAAAGAAGAGGGCGCAAAATGACGGTTATTGATACTACTATTTGACGAAAAATAGATTTCGGAGAATTTGTACAGTAATTATAATTCGTCCATAAAGATCCTGAGCC